TAACAGTCTCTTATTTTGCTCACCTATTTCTGTAATAAAGTTACTACTTGAGAAAAATGGTGCACTTAGAGAAAGGGTATCATGCTACCTGCTGTCAATTTTTACTGCCAACTCTGATATTCTTTTCTTTTGGTTTTCTGAACTCAGAAGTTCTTAATACTTAATTTAGCTGAAAATGCCAGTGGGTAATCTTCAGACCCTGTCTGTCTTATGTTTGATCCCTGGGCTTCTCTGCCACCTTACCTCTTCAGTCATGATTTTCATTTCTCTGTATTCCTCTTCTGTGTTGTGAGATAATTCATCAATTGGATCTTCTCATAGCAATAATTCAGTTCTCAGTAGTGAATATTCTATTTTGTTTTTTTCTTAAATTTTTCAACTCAAGAGTCATTATGTTTTTCAATTCTAAGTCATTTTTGTGCCTCAGTTACAGACTTTTGAGAATTCTCCTTCTTCTTCTTTTTCTTTTTCTTTTTTTTGTTGTTGTTGAAGTGCTGCTTTAGCTCTTCTGCTAGAATTGCCATTGTTTGAGCCACTACGCTGTGTGTGCAGCAGGGTTCCTCCCCCAGGGTTTCTGAGTCCTCTTAAATGTATGCTGTGCCCTCGCAGTTCAGACTTTGGGTAAATTAAACAAGTGGATGGTGGGCAACAGAATATGATTTTCTTCCTCTTGACCACTGGGACTCCAGTCAGACCTCTCTGGGTGTGGAAGCATCCAGCCACACCAGCTGGTGGTGATTTATGAAATTAAACATAAGCAAATCAACTACTGTGTTGGAAAAGAAAAAGTGCACATTCCTGATGGTTTAGAAATCAGAGAGTAAGTTAATAGTGAAATGTAAAAGCTCATCAATTATATGACAGCATCGATTATTAATGGGGAATGACAGCCACAGACCATGAAATTTGTGAATGTTGAATAATAAACTCAGCTGAATAAGAAAAGTATGACCACTGATGGGAGACTCACATTACATAGATTCCTCCTTTTTGTGTTTTAAAGGAAAATTTTTGGGGAACCCAACCAGCTAAGAGCTTCAGAAAATGCAACCTTATCCATCGAACCCAGGCCTTGCCCCAGGTAGGGCTGATTGACCCATGAATGGACACACACAGTCACAATGGGGCCACATGTAAGCAGGTGAATGAGAATAAAAGATAACATGCAAAATGATAATAATAATGAAACAGAGACACGGGAGAGAGAGACATAGAGATGGAGTGGGAGAGAATGAAAATGAGCTACCTAGGTTCTCATTGGTTTTATAGTTTGGGATTCTATCATTCATGAGACTCATCTCTAGTTCTGGCCCTTGGATTTCAAGACTTTTTTTTAAATGTAGTTCACTGATACAACACATTCTCCTTTTGACCATAGTCCTTTTTCTTGCAAGCAATCTCAAACTGAGGCCAAACCCAAGTTAAAGTTATGGTAATCTGATCAATTTCACCAGGTCTTTCTTTCCTACTTCTTTCCTGAGCTTTAGGCTCCAATAACCAATTGTCTACATGAAATCTTCATTAGATATCTAAAATCATTTCAGACCTTAACTATCTGTAGCATGGCAACACAATTCTTGTCTTCTTTGTATTTTTCATATAAACATGCTCTTATACCAATATTCTTCATCTCAGTAAATGCACCAAAACTTACTCAGCAGCTCAGGCCAAAAATTTAGTTGTCATCCTTGATTCTTCTCTTTTTGCCATAGAGCACATCTGATTTACCTTTATAATAGACACTACTAATTTTTGTCAATATTCAGTTTGCTCTATTCTGAACATACAAAAAGGCTACATTTTCTTGTCTCCTGGAACTTAGTCCCTGGGTGCCTTTTTCTGGACAATGAAATGTGAGCAAAAGTTATATGCATCATTCCTTTGTAGAAACATTTCTACAAGGGAATTGATTATCTATCTTTTCTTGCCATGTGATAGATGATACTTCCCACGGTAGAGTTATCTGTCAGCCTGGGTTTGTAAGTCAGGTCTCTCTGCTGACTCAAGATGTACCAACAGTGTGAGCAAGAAACACACCTTTGCTGTTTGTGATACCAAGATTTGGGGGTAGTTTGTAACTGCAGCATAAGCTACCCCATCCTAACAGAAAACAATCCTCTAGTCCTATTGGCGGCATCATCAAAGTGTACCCCCAACTTGATGCTTGTTACCTCCTTTTCTACCACCGCTGTATTCCAGAGCACGCTCACCTCCTGCCTGGATTTACTGCAGCATCCTCTTAATTGATCTGCCATTTCTTACTCTGGTATCTTATAAATATCAGATATTCTTTTTGGAAGAGCAGCCAGGCTTGTTTTTTAAAGGTGAATTATCTGTGTTAGTCTCCTGCCCAAAAACGCTTCAACAACTACCCACTAGAATAAAATTCAAAGTCTCTCTATGAACCACAAGACCCCATAATCTGACTCTGTCTATTTCTCCAAACTTGTCTCCTGCCATTCTTTCATCTCTCTGCTTCAACCACATTGGGTCTCACCATTGCTAGTAAGCAGTAAGCTCATTCTGTCTTCCAGGCTTTTCTCCTGTGGTTCTCTCTGTGTGGAATGTTTTACCTCAAGACTTCTGTCTGGCTTGGCTTCCTCCTTCCCATTGTACAAATTTGTATTCCAAGATTATGTCCTCAGCACAATCTCTACCTAAAAACACATTCTCCAATTGCCCTGTTTTATTTTGTAAAGCACTCTTTGAACTTTCCTGTTTCTTTATTTTGTATTTGCTTAATTTATGTTAAGCAAACATAATTTTTTTTTCTAGACTACCAATATGACAAAGCAAGGATTTTGTTTTTCAGTGCTCTGTCCCTGGAATATAAAAAAGTATCTGGTGCTTAGGGGGATTCAATAAATATTTATCAAATGAGTGAATTGATGAATGAGTAGCTTAAACAATCAGAACATCAAAATAATACTGCAATGAAGACAAAACAATTAGAAGCAATACTCTTTTATAAGTCCTTAACCTAGTCTGTTTGTTTGTTTTAACAGAGCAAAAAATAAATCAAAATACTGCTAATCAATTTATTTAGCTTTTATCTATGACCTACCAATTAGAATTCATTTATTTAGAAAAACCTGATGTGCTCAAATTGACTTGCTTAAATTAGCATATTGAAACTCAAGGTCTTTTTAAAAAGGGAATCAGCGCAGGATATGTTTAAAGTTGCAATAGTAATAACTGAGTTTCTCAGTCCAAATTATCTATATTTTCTACAATGGACCCAAGAAATTAGCGAAAAATAAAAGGATCTGAAAGCAAAAGAATAGACTCAAAGACAGGGTAGGCAAGTGAATTAAGCAGAAAACACTAGATTAGAAAATTTCTATGGAAAATAACTTTCTGTATAATTTAGCTAGAGAGAATCAATGAGTAGAATTTGTCGATGAGCTGTACATGTGACCAACATATTTATTCTTCATCACCACATCCTCAATGATATGAGTTTATGCATTTGTCCATCACATGCCAAGATGACGCATGAAAACTTCCTCCAGTGGGGCATATCCTTGGATTACTATTCTAGTAGAAATGATGGATACGCACTGATACACTTGCTCGGTTATCAACTTTCACTCATGCAACACTTTTGCAAAGCAGTTAATCCAGGTGTGGAACATTTACTATGACCAAGCGATATATTGAAGATAACTGGCTTTTAAAGGAACTGAGTTTCTCTTTCTGGCCTCCATGGCATTCCAATAAGGAATGTCCAGTGAGTTATGAGAACTGGGTCAGTCTCTTGGTTCTGTGACTTTCCAATCTTGAGTATGTCATTTAACCTTTTGAGGGAGAATGCGGATGAAGATAACATATACCTACCCTAGACATTTCATAAGGTTCTTGTGAAAAGAAAATAACACATGTCAAAGACATGTTTTGTAAGCTGGATATTTTAGCTATTTGTTTTTCTTCTGCTTCTTTGAGGTAATTTGAGATATCCTTTAAATTGAAGTCGCCACATTTATACATTTCAAAGTAAGAGGAAAATAAAGGGCAAGCAGCAAAATGGATAGGTTTGGCCATGTGGTCAAGAAATGCTGAAATTACAATAATTAGAAAATGACACTGCTGTTTCTTCAAACACACAAAAGTACTAAGTGCTCTTTCATTTGAAAATCCCATCACCTGTTTCCATATCTAATTATTTCCAAATAATTCATCTCCTACCCAAGGAAAAAAGCTAAATTCATGGTCCACCATAAAATGAAACACAATTTTTATAGCCCTTATGGAACTGAGGAGAAAAACAAAATCAGAAGAAAAATGCGTAAGATTGTGCATTGTCTGAAACCTCCTAGCTGTTACAATATGTAAATCAACAAATCTCTGAAATTTAAAGCTCCATGGTCTCTAGTTATTTTGTTGCTTTGTTTACTTGAGTAATTCCCCCGTTCATCACTAAACATATTGCAAAGATCTTATTAAGTAAGCAGAATAGGAGACATGATGAATACTCTGATGAAGGCATTTAGTTTCATAAGAAATACTGCTCATAACGATTTTGTGATCAATTACACAAGCCCACTTCAATCTCACACTCAGACGTGACTTTAGGGAAGTGATTAGTTATAAATCCAAATAACACAGACACCAAACAATTACTGTACACCGGGAACCTCAAGTCAACAAAGATAACTTAGCTCTAAGGAAAATAGCACAGGAAAACTCGTTATTCTTAATGAAATCCATCCTGTTCTCTTTTTCACACATATAACCCATACTATCCACAGATGGAAAAAAAATTAGATGGCTAAATGAATCTGCTCAATTCACCAAATAGATCAATAGAGTTACTGCATTCCATCAATTACAGAAAAATATTTAATGTAACCCTCATGTAACCCAAGTGACGAATGGTCAGCTAGGTTTGGCTCATTGACTAGGTTTAGTTGATATTTATAACATTTATGTGCTTCTTTGGGGGGAACTGAGCATCAGATTACATTATCCTGAATGTTCACTGATTATGCCGTTCCTCCTACCTCATGGTGATTCTTGGCAAGCCATTCCTTAATGGTGCTGAGGGCAATGACTGCAGCAGGCTCATTCGGAAAGCCTAGATGAAGAGCAGAAAAAAACAAATGAACAACGAAAGATGAAGGCAATAGAGAGGTTAATCACGCTACGACACTGGAGTTTTCTCATTTAAGCAATATTCAATTCAGTCAATAAGTACAGGCCTCAGTAAGATGTACATGGATATAAAGCCTGTGATCCTACACACAGGCATTAAGGGGGCTGGTCCTACACCAGTACAGAGTTTAAAAATAATTTAATTGTGTCTCTAATCTTATAACAATGTCAATTAAAAACATATTTATATATGCTTAATAGATTACGATGTACTTTCGTATTGTTTTCTTGTAAGAAGTGGTCAGATTAAAGTTTATTATCCTCAGCTTAAAACAAAAAGTACATGTGTCTCAGAGAAAACATATAGTTAGCCCAGGGTCAGTTCTGCCCATCACAAGGCCAGCAGCACTCCACCAATGGACCATACCACAGAAACCTACTGTCAGAATTCAAAGAGGGTATTTCCTGTTTCACTTGGGGCCATCAGAGGTGATGCTTGTAATTGAGACAGCATGAGCTAATCAGGTCTTGTTGTACAGGTTTGGTTTTAGAAGGGAAGCAAGAATGACAGTCTTATGCTTTGTCCCAGGGGGCAGGAGCGTACATGCTCAGAGTCTCCAAAACACATTCAGAATGTCACCTTAGCTGATCTAAACCAAACATATTCCTGGACCCACAGAACCATCAAACATTCTGCCAATAGTGATGGTATGTGAAGGAATAATCCTATCAATTTATATACTTATGGAGCAGGAAGAAGAAGAGATAGGAGTAACTATGCTACTGAAACTACTCTCTTTGAGCTCACCACTGGCTTCCTAATCACCGAATCCCATCACCTTTCAATTTATCTTCAAGCTAAATTGTTAGATGTGTTTACTGTTCGATGTGTTTGACTAGTTTTTTATGTTTTATTCTCCTCTCACATATTTTAATTTTTTTAACTTTCTTACTTATTGTTTGAACGTTTACAATTCAGTGGTTTGTACCATGTTTGTAAAGTCTTGCCATCATCACTAATTCCAGATATTTTTATCATCCCATAACAAAACTCTGCACCCATTAATGGTCACTCCCCAATCTGTCACCCAAAGCCCCTGGTAACCATCAATCTACTTCTGTCTTTATGAGTGTGTGGCTTCTTCTCCTGAATTTTTCAACCCTGTCTTCTTCCACGTCTTCTTCTTCCTGTTTGACCAATTCTTTCCTGGCTTCTTTCTAGCAACATTCATTAAATGTGTGCCATTCCCAGCATCCTAAACTCAGCCCTCTTTTTTTCTTTATATGGCTTGTCTATGAAGATATTTTCTTGTCCAGAGTCCTCTGGGATATTGTCCATACAGATGCAGAAAGACAGAGATGTTGCAGAAATGGAGAGGGCCAAGACTTAAAAGACCCAGTTTTATTGGAGGGCAAATATGTATTCCAGTAGTTCAGACTGATAGTTCAGGTCTCAGTAGGTCTTCAGAAAAAAATGAGTGAGAGGACAGGTAAAGGACAGATATTGTCCCCATTTCCAAGAATATGTGTTGCTTTGCTGATTAGGTTTCTACAGGCTTTGCTAGAGAGTGCATTACGAAAGGGGAAAAAACAAATCAGAGCCAAGCTTCATTTTTCTTAGAGGCAATGGCTGTGATATAGAAAATGTGCATAAGTTCTTGAACCTTTGTAATGTCTATCACATTTGGGATTGTGCATTTGTTATGAATTGTTTAATCCTATTCGTTTTCTTTAAATGAAGGCATCAAAATGTAAAACCTTTAAATTTTCTTTAAAGTTAAAAAGTATTACTGAACCCCACAAAAGTAGCTATGTCATACTTTTATTGAGTCCCTGTCCTCTAAAAGCCCAAAGTATAGGGGAGGAAATAGACAAGTAAAGAGGCAAACAAAATGCAGCATAACAAGTGTATTAGGGGTATGTGGACACAGATAAAGAGGACTAAGCAAGAAAGAAGTGTGAGGTTTGCAGGAAATAATAGAATATTTGAGGAAGAGAGCTGTAACATGGGGAACCAAGGAGACATTATCCTCAGAAATAAGCTGTGAGTCCCAAGGAATCAATGGGAAAGGTTAGGAAAAATGAAGTAGAGAGGAAAGCAGGATGAGAGTACGGGTGAGCTGCAAAGAAGGAAGGAGGTGGCCAGGTGCGGTGGCTCACGCCTGTAACTCCAGCCCATTGAAAGCCTGAGGTGGGAGGATCATGAGGTCAGGAGTTCAAGACCAGCTTGGCCAAGATGGTGAAACCCCATCTCTACTAAAAATATAAAAATTAGCTGAATGTGGTGGCGAGCACCTGTAATCCCAGCTACTTGGGAGGCTGAGGCAGGGAATTGCTTGAACTTGGGAGGCAGAGGTTGCAGTGAGCTGAGTTTGTACCACTGCACTCCAGCCTGGGCACAGAGCAAGACTCTATCTCAAAAAAAAAAAAAAAAAAAAAAAAAAAAAAAAGGAGAAGGAGGCCAGGATGGGCATTTGCTGTTAGGGGATTAACCATAGAAGGCCTTTTCTGTCCATCTCTGCCCTGAATTTAACACCTACATTTATAATCGCCTGGATAATTCCCTTTGATATGCTTTAGCACCAGAAATGCAACACATGCTCCTACCTAAAACAAATGTCGCCCCTGGCTTTGTGGTTTCTGTCTATGGCTTTACCTCTCTCCTAGTTACCGCCATGTTTGACTGCCTTCCCTGCTGGTAACCAAGTCCTAAAGGCATTTTCCCTCTGAACTATTTTCCACCTCGCCTTCTTTTCCTCCCTTTCCCACTGATTTCTTTCAAGGTCTGATCAGCCCTGACCCAGACAACTGTAGCTGACAACTGTGCTCCTTTGGTCTTCCTTCCCTTCTCCAATCTATCCTGCAAGCCACTTTCAAGTGATTCTTCCTACAGCATAGTTAGCATTACACCTCAACCATACACAAAACAGAGGCAGCCTTTGTTGACTCTCCAACACAGAATAAACACGGGCACCTCAGCTTAGTGTTACACATTCCAATGACCCCACGGGGCCTTTCTAGATTTATGTCTCAGTTTTCTCTTATTTATTCTCATTTCATAAAATTCTTCTCCAAATTTAGGTATGTTGAATAAGTATTTAAGTCATAAAATTATAGGGCTATATAAAACTAATAAATACTGCAACCACACACAGTTGCAATGACCATCAGCATTAACATTCACCTTTAGAAGACATAATTCCCCACAGAGAAATTATACAAGTTGTCATAGAACCATGGCAACTATGGTCAGTTCTCAATAATTTGTGACCTCCTGGTCACTCATATTCATCAAAGCATCTGGCACTAAGTTACGATTTTCATCTTAACCTCAAGGTTTGCTCTAACCCTATGTGATTTCAACATCCACAAGAGTGACCCACCCTGCGCCTAGCCAATCCATTGACCCGTTCGTCTTCCACAACAACCTCCTCCATGAATCGTGCCCTGGACCTTGATGCAGCATTCCCGATTCAAAGTTACTAATTTAAGCAGAGCTCTCTCAAAACCTGCTTTCTCATTGTTAGTTTGTTTGCTCAGTTACTTTCCAAGGAATACTCTTTCACAAGCATTTGAAGCCAACTCTAGCTTCAAGTCACTCCCCAAGTTAATGGCAACATTTCTCCCACGCATAAGCTGGCCCTTTGTTGTCTCTCTAGTCTCCTCTCGTGTTGCTTTGCTCTTTGTCTTCTCCACTCCAACGACACTGGCCTTCTTTCTGATCTTTGAAAGTGGTATTTTTATTTTGCCTTCCTGTCATAAAGCCTTGCTCATGCTCTTTCCCCTTTCTGAAATGACATTTATCCTCCCTTTTTCCTAGTGTATTTCCATTTTATTTGTCCTCTGCTCAGTGGTCACTTCTTCAGGAAAGGCTTCTCTGACACTGATGACTCCCTATGCTGTGTTTTCATAACACCATGTACCTTTACCTCACAGACCCATCACAGTTGCAGTTCTACATTTACTTATGTAAATATGTGATTAATAACCTTAATAGAGTGAAAACCCTGGCAGGTGGAAAACACATCTGTTTTTGCTTATCACTGGATACCTGAAACATTGCCAGCACATACAGAATGATCAATAACTAGGTGTTGAATGACTGACTGGATTACAGACTTGTGGATCTTTGTACATATTGACAACAGGAAAAGGCTCACTGCTGGGAGCACAGGGAGTGTTTAACCTTAGAGTATGGGGAGGAGGAAGGGATGCTGAGAAGGTACTCAACAGATAGTTATATTCAGAATATCCCTTTTCATTCCTAGGGGAAAATAGCGAGATTTATGAGAAAATCTAGTTCCTGCTAGGAAGATGTATTGTGATTAATTAAAGGGGGAGAAAAATATCAAGATGAATATCCCTGAAAGTATGCCTGCTTTCGTTGGACATGGATATACAAGATAAAGCATGATGTTCAGGGTAAACAGCAAGACAATTCTTTCCCCACTTAACTGCAAGACCTCCGGGGTTACAAGTAAGACCAATGAACGGACAAAGACAGATTTTAGCCTAGGGATGGACTCCCAAGAGAGAAAGGACTTCCTCAGAACATCACAACATATTCTGGTCACCAGGGGACTTTTGTTCACAAAAGTAGAATGGCCACCCAGAGGGGAGGCTACAGACAAGCTTCAGATGAATCACTGAATTAGATGACATGGGAAATCTCTTCCAAGTATGAGGGTCAATGAGGCTGAACAAGCCATGAATAATTTAGGGTCAGGCATGCAGGGAGTTGCATGTGTGTGTATCCAGGTGCGCACAGATTCTGTGCCTCTACTGGAATTCCAAAGCTTAGTTTCCTACTCATTAGGATAGATTCATAAAATTAACTTTTGTTGTAAATGTGAAAGTTGACTTATACAATAAATAAATGATTTTTTCTTATTTACTTTGTATTGAAAGTGCTTACAAATATTTTACATACTGTACACACACACACACACACACACACACACACACACACACACCATTAATGCA